GTGTGGTTTGCAAAGGAAAAGGTAATCTTACACACAGTGCTGTCCAGTCCGCTTTTATTTTGTTTCGATTTATCTTTGCCAGCAGCAAACGCATCTTTGGGAGATGCTAGAAGTTGTTGTTGTTTACCACTTTTAGAGCTATGTGTGGCATCCAGTAGCCTTTGGAGGTGTACAGCAGTTGTCAGTTTTTATACTGGCAAGTGAACTTTACCCCAGTTAAAGTCAAACTGCCCTATTCGGCAGACACCAGAATGCCCTGGAAAGATGCCACTTGGCACCGGCTGCTCCAGTCTCCCAGGGCCAAGAAAGAAATTTCCATACAAACACAACACAAGGGTGTGATCTTCTTTCAGACTGGGAAGCATTGAATTCGGGTGTGCTCAGTTTTGAGTGGATTTAAGGTTGAGATGTAAGTAGCACAAAAACCAAAATATTTATGAGGTGGTTGGTGCACCGGCAAAGAAAGAAATTGTTTTGAGCTGGCCTTTGCTAATGTTACCATTGCACTTCTTCTCAGCCAAAAGGTTTTATATGTTTGCTGGCTGTAATAAAGTTGATTTAGTTATTATTTATTAGTAAGTTTCTACTCATGAAGACTTTGTATGTATTATTGGTGACTGCATTTTGTTTGTTAGAGGCAGAACTACCAATTTGCTAATTTGCTCAGCACTAATGATGTTAACATGCAAATAATTGTGTGTGTTGTGTGGATGTCTATGTCCAGGCAGGATCCAGTTAATCTAACATTCCTGGACTTGCAGCTGCTGAGGAGCAGTAGTTAATTCGCTCCTCAGAAAGTTAGTTTTTGTAGAAAGTGTATTAATGGACTAGAGAAAGCTGGAAAAGAGGGCAGTTTTAATTAGTTAAAGCAGCTTTAGATAATTCATTTTGCATGATTTCAGTCCCTTAAAATATTGATTGTTGGTTGTAGTTACAAAAGTCGTTGTTGATCCCTCGGCTAGTAGGAGAAAGGTCACTTTCCTAGATGTTGGAATTGCAGGCGAGGGTCTTTCAGGGCGGAGGGAGGGTCTTGCCAAAAGAGGCTGGATCCTGGTGGGCCAAGGGCCAGGGAGTTCCTCCTCTTCACATAGGGGGTCTTGGGGCAGGACCGCAGCCAACCCGGATGCTGCTAGTGGAGGGTAAAAATAGCAAGCTCCTTTATAGCTCAGGCAGAAGAGCTGCCTGGGCAGCCAGAATCCGGGCCTTGGAGAAGTGGGGGGGGGGGATGAGGTGGACCTTCTGAAGCTCTGAGCGTTGAGGTGCGTGTGGGTCTGCAGCTTAAGAGGCAGAGGAGTGACTTCATATAATTGTGTGACTTCATAATGGTGTGAGAGCCTAACTCGCTCCATTTCTACCCACGGCCTCTTTACTCAGCAGTAAAATCCCACCCTTGAGTTGTGAAAGTATTGATGTTTGAGTCCGTGAAAGCTCGTGGTGGATGCATTATTGAAAAGGTTAGTATACGTCTGAGCAATTGGCCGCAAGCCAGGAGAGTCGGGGGGCTGCCCTTCTGCTTGTTAGGTGCGTCCCACGGGGCCCCTTCTCCAGGGTCCAAGCGGTCTCTTTTGTTCCAGGTGCAGTTTGAGGGAGGGGCATCCCCTTCTCTTCTACAAAGTTGCCGCCCTCGGGTCCAAGGCCCCGATTCCGAGTCCCCAAACTCCCTGTGCGCCCAAGTATTCCTTCCCCCACTGAGTGCTGCTATTCTCTTGTTTCCAGGATTCCTGAATGGTTCTGCTAGCGCTCGTGGCCTTGTTGCTTGGACTGTGGCTGGTCTGGACCATGATGGCCAAAAATCCTCCACTTGGTTTGAAAAAAGAGAAGCTTGAGCAGCTGACCACTCCCAAAGTCCAGTTCCTTCCACAGTTCCCGGTGGATGGGAGGGAAGCAGTATCTTCAGGGCCCAGCCAGGCCCCTGCAAGCCCATTGCACCAGCCCCTTCCAGGCCCCCAGGCGTCCACCGACCCCTCCTGCCAACTCAAGCCCCCCATTCCTCGCTCTTCCTCCGACTGTGTGCTGTCTCCGGGCGCCGATTCCTCCAGGCCTTTGAGCCGGTTTGTCCGAGTGTCCTCAACGCAGCTCTTGAAGCAGATGCACGCCCTGTCCTTCGAAGAGCAGACCGCCAGCCCTGCCCAGAGGAAGCAGCAGGCCATGGCCAAGTTTGTGCTGGGCTCCTTCGAAGACAATTCTTCCGACGAGGAGCTTGTAGCCGGAGGAGCCTTTCCGAGGGGCAGGAGGAGACGGAGAAGCCTGGCCTGTCCCGGTTCATCCTCCTCCGCTGACTCAGAGGCCAGCATCGGCATGAGGTAGGCGACGTGGCGTGGCTGGTTCGGCCTCTCTGCCCCGGACCTTCGGGAGGAGCCAATCCAGGGAGGGTCAAGGCGGGCCCTGTCTTGTTTTCCCAACATTTGGTTAAATGTGACTTATTTCAGGAGACTTTTGGATTGAAGCTACTGTTCTGCAGTCCCCTTTTTAGTAGCCACATTTTAACCATTTTTGTTTGTTTGTTTTCACTATTTGTATCATTGCCATTCAAACTGATTTCCTATTTATTTATAAAGAGTGGTTGACTGCTTCTGCATACAAGTTGAAAACCTGTCAGAATGCACGATGTCGTGACTTAAAAGGGAATGTGTATAACTAACTCTGAAAGATAGACTGGTGCAATACGGTTTGAGTTTGATAGGCAGAACAGTCCCTGCATGCTTCAGCAGCCAGAATATCCTGGTATGATATTCAAAGGAATATGCCAGCTCCTCTCAGGTAAATGCACACCAAGCTACGTTGGTCTCAGGTTAAGCTGCCTTAAATGCAGTGGGGAGCCTTTAGTATTCGCCCAACGGCTTCTTGGCGCATTGCTCTAAAAATGCAAGCGGTTGAACTTGGGAGTTTTCTACTGTGCTGGAGAAAAAGAGCAAGCAGCGCTCAGCAAGATGGAACTCCATGAATTCTGTGACTGATAACATGCTTTAAAAAAACAATGGAAAAGCTTATCTATCTGTGTGTCATTTCTCCTGGTTGACTCAGTAATCTGAACAAACCCCCATTTTGGCTTCTGTCCTAATGTGTTAGATTTACCCCCACGTGCTCTTTTACTCTCTTTCAAGTATTACAGACTTCCCATATTTGGTGTATTAAAGCCAGAAAGTGGCCCTGCCAGGACAGTCACTCTATTTGCAGCAATTGTGTTTAGGTTTGCTGAAGTCCTGGGCCAAAGTGTCCGGGGCACCAGTCTGAGGAAAGGTGGTAGAAGGTCTTGACCTCTCTCGCTGGATGTCAGCCCGGCTCTTGGATCTGCAGTTATTTGTGCAGGCATTAAGGACTTAACAGCGATTGGTCTTGGGATGAAAACCAGAACAGCCTAGTATTTTCCTCTCTGTGAAATACTCCCAACCCTTTTATAAGTGGCTTTTTGAAGTCTGCAAGAGGATATTCAGATCCCCGGAAGCCATAAATCCTTGAGATGGGAGTGCAGAGAAATATTGGCTGGTTCTTTCCATTGTAGATCTATTCTGTCCCTTTCACGCCCACCGCGTACTATTTTATGTGTTGATATCTTCCTTTTTCGCTTTCCTTAAAGGCCTTTGCCTGTACAACCAGGGCATAAAATAGGAAGAAAACAGATCAGTTGCTGTTGCTATTGCAGTGCTGACAATGAATGTTTATCAGCCGTCGGAGCGCGAGAGGCTGCTTGGGATCAAGGGCCAAGGATAGATTTTCAGTTGATAACTAACTCGGTGGTCGGGAGACCGAAGTATTGTTGTTTTTGTGGTCTGTCACACAGCCAGCCAGATGTTTTTTCTCCCTTGAGCCACCTGGGGGTGCTGCTGGGGAGCTGTCGCCCACGGGGAAGGGAAAGCCAAGAGGAGGGGGGGGGGAAAGTCACAGAAATGGAGGAGGAGGAAGAGGCGGCAGGGCTGGCCTCCGACTCTGTTCCTGCCTGCCTCTCTGGGGGTCCCAGAGCCGCAGAAGAGGAGAGGAAGAAGCAGCAGACCGGAACTGGGCGCAGCAGCCTGGAGGTCAGTACCGGCCAGCAGGATTCTGACTTGCTTTGGGTCTGGGCGGCTGAAGCCTTCGATCTGCTCTGCAGCACAAGAGGGGAGGAGAAAGGGGGCAGCTTAAGATAACCACACAAACAAACATTCCTTTCTCCTCTTCTGAGCTTGTGCAGAGTCCGGCAGCAGCTCCTTGGCAGGCACCCGGCAGGGAGGGGAAGATGCTAGCGGCAGCTGCTGGCAGCCGTTCCTTCATTGTCATTTTGGGGCTGAGAATCGTCTCCTCCTGGAGGTGGCAGAGAAAGCAGCTACGGAAAGGAGGGAGTAAATAACAGTTTCTTGGGGGGGGGTGTTTCCAAATGCTCTAAGCTTAGATGCCCTTTTGTCCTCCAGCCACCAGAGACGTGCACAACTGTTTGAGGAGAGTCTCTCAAAACAGTTTCAGAACCAAATTTCTCCTGAATGAGGTCTTCACTTTTCAGGGATTGTTTTCTAAGGATGTTTCCAGAAAATGATACCCAGCCAATTTCAAAAACAAGCCCATCTTGCACAGCTAAGCGTTGGAAGCATTCCTTCCTACCCTCTTCGTAACTTTTGCCTGCCCTAATCTCATTTTCTCTTTTGGAAATACGGAACTTTTGAAAGATCAGCAGCTTAACAAAATGTGTTCCAGAGGGAAGACAGATGGTTAGTTCATAAGATGTGTTTTGTGTTAGATGTGCCACCTTTTACCAAAAGCCTGTTAACTGAAAAGGTGGGAGGAAGACGCTTAACATTTAAATGTCAGGGCAAGACACACGGACGGACGAGAGCAGACAACTGGTGGCACCAAGTAGTGGAACAATTTCACCTTCACTCAGGAACGTGTTCCACCGTCTTCTGCCCCCCTGCTTGACTGTTGTTCTCCAGCAGTCATCTGAGGTCCGTCTTTTATTCTTCCCCGAGGAACAGACTCAAGCGCTATGGATTGAGCTTACAGAAATATTTCTGCCTCCTTCCAGAACCAGCATGTCAGGGATGTACCTGGTGAAGAAAGGACGGGAGCACAGGAAACTGGACCTCCACAGGGACTTCACGGTGGCCTCACCTGCTGAATTCGTGACTCGTTTTGGAGGAAACCGTGTGATTGAAAAGGTATTGGCCGCCGAAGAAGCAGCGACGCTCCCCTTTGACCCTTGTGATGCAGCTGGGATGGCTGCCTATTAAATATATTTCCTTCATGTAAAGCCCACTATGTGTAGAGAAACTTTATATAAAGTCAGGCAGATATTCCAGAAGATTGGCGGGAACGCTGGATTGTCTAACTCGTCTCCTGTGCGCCGGGAGGGAAGGGGTCTCTCATTGAGCCCTGATCTTCTTTTGGGAAGCCCCGTTTCAGCCCCCTCTCCACTCTGGCGGGGCTCCTGGGGAGTGACCGGCCTGGGCGTGCCTTCTTCCCGAACTCAGGTCCTGATTGCCAACAATGGCATTGCGGCCGTGAAGTGCATGCGCTCCATCCGCAGGTGGGCCTACGAGATGTTCCGGAACGAGCGAGCCATCCGTTTCGTGGTGATGGTGACCCCTGAGGACCTTAAAGCCAACGCAGGTCGGTAGCGGAGGCCTTTGCTGCTTCCCCCAGGGCCTGGGATGGTTCTCCCCCCTCATGACTGACAACCCCAACCCTCTCCTAGAGTACATCAAAATGGCGGACCACTACGTGCCTGTCTCCGGGGGAACCAATAATAACAACTACGCCAATGTAGAACTGATCGTGGACATCTCAAAGAGAATCCCAGTGCAGGTAACCAGCCGGGGTTCTCTGTCCATCCTGGGCTGCAGAGAATTCTGTAGCAAAGAACGGGTGGGAAAGTGGGAGGTCTGTAGAATGGGTGCAATAGAATGTATGAAGATATAGAACTGCCGAAGTGGTGCAGCAGATCACTTAAACCTTCTTTCCTAGGCTGTCTGGGCTGGTTGGGGACATGCCTCGGAGAATCCCAAACTTCCAGAGCTGCTGCAGAAACACGGGATTGCTTTCCTAGGTAGGTGTTTTCTCTTGGCTGCGTGTTGGCACGTTCAGCTAAGCCCCAGGTGGAATAGGAAGACGCTGATCTCTGCCTCTGACAGACTCAACTTTCCCCAAGCGGCGTTGCCAGGCCTGAATCTGGGTGTGTTTTCCATGCAGCCTCCCTTGAAACTTTCCCCCCCCCCCCACTTTGTTCTTGCTAAGTAAAAAATAGATCTTCTTTCCCAGATTTCTGGAAAGAAATCTCATCCCTTAGGGCAGAGATCTGTGTTTCTGCCACTCTGTAAAGCCTCCCCCCTACCGGACTTGAGGGACCTTGTGCGATCAAGGTTAAACGCCTGGCCAGCAGAACAGGTGCGAGTGACCTCACAGTCCCTGCTTCTAATCCTGCCTATGTATAGCCAAGCTGCTCTGCTTTTGTCTGGGCCTCCGGCATTCCAGCCGAGCTCGTGCAGGCCTCTCCCAAATGTATTTTCCCCCAATGTCAGCTGACCCTCTTTTCTCTGGTTACTAGGCCCACCCCGTGAAGCCATGTGGACCTTGGGGGACAAAGTGGCGTCCACCATTGTGGCCCAGACCATCCACATTCCAACGTTGCCGTGGAGTGGCAGTGGTAAGAGGACTTGCGCCCCCCCCCCCGCCTTGGTGTTCTCTGCCCGCTTTTGACTTGGCGTCCTGCAGCTTCCATCTTGGCCACTCCAGGTCTCACAGGATCGAGAAAGGGCTGCATGACTGAAATCTCTTCCCTTTTCTTTCCTTCTGATTTATCCCTTGCATTACTTTGGGGCACGATGGAGCCTCTGCTTCGATCATAAAGAAATAGCTGTTGCCCTCAAAGTTTTGTTGTGGTTTTTTTTTTTCCTAGACTTAATTGCTGAACGGACCCAAGAGGAGAAGCAGCAGGCGGAGACCCTCACGGTTCCCTTGGAAACCTATCAGCGGGGCTGTGTGCGGGACGTGGAAGAAGGCCTAGAGGTAAATGGAGGCACCCTGGATGCCTTCTAAGGCGTTAAAGCGTTATTAGTAACAATATTATTAGAGAGGGAAAATGACAGAGGCTTAGGCAACTAAGCATGGAAGAGGAGAGCAGTTTTTCTTAATTAAGTTGTCCTACCTTTGGGCTTCCTGTTGGATCCTGCACTGGCTGCAGAATGAAACAGACCAGGCAGATTTTTGTTCCTTAAAAGATTCATTGCCCTCCTTCAGGGAAGGAGAGAATTGGCAAACTCAGTCCTGTGTGAGTCTCAGCTTGTGTGGAATTTTAAGCAAAGGACATTATTTTTGCTGCTGAATGGTAAAATTTATTCGTGTCAGAAGCGTCAGGGTGCTACGGAGATTATGAAACGGTTGGCAGCCAGGCAGGTCAGTCTGTGCTACTTTATCCTTACTAGTTTAGGTATTGCAGGCCAAGCATACAATCTAGCTATTGACGGGCCTGCCTATTTTAGCAGGGGGCAAAGCGGAAAGCCTCCCTGCACTTAATGCCAAGGTTGCGCGTCATTTGGCTTTGGAGCAGGCCTGGCCAGACCCATTTTGAGGAAGGCTGGGTTCGCCTGGGCAGCACAGGTTCAGGGCTGGCATTCCAGAGGAGCCTTCTTCACCCCTTGCTTCTTCCTTCCCTCCTTTCTCCTCCTCCTCCTCCTCTCAACTGTCAGGCGTCCAAAAGAATCGGCTACCCGGTGATGATCAAGGCCTCCGAGGGGGGCGGCGGCAAAGGGATTCGAATTGTGGAAGGGGTGGAGGAGTTCCCTGCCCGCTTCAGACAGGTAAAGGAGGGGCTGCTCTGGGGTTCTCCTGGGCCAGATTCCCCGTCATTTTAAGGGTTTCCTGCACCCGTGTGGCCCCTCTCGTTCGTGTTCCTCCGAAGAAGGGATACCGTCGTAGTTTATGAAATCCTCGTTCCTCGGCTTCCTTTCAATGCCACACTGAGAGGTAATCTGGCTGTTTGGCTTGAACTAATTAAGGGATTTTTATCCTTGTACTCTCATAACCCGGAGTGCTTTCCCAATGCATAACTCTCTGGGTTTTAGCCAGCTGTTTGGAAGCTCTGGACAGTCGGTGCTCCGTTTGATTTTCTTGCCCTCCGTCCGACAGGTGCAGAGCGAGGTCCCCGGGTCCCCCATCTTCGTGATGAAGTTCTTGCAGCACGCCCGCCACCTTGAAGTCCAGGTCCTGGCTGACCAGTATGGGAACGCCATTTCCTTGTTCAGCCGGGACTGCTCCATCCAGCGGAGGCACCAGAAGATCATCGAGGAAGCCCCGGCCACGGTGGCCCCTCCGGCCGTCTTTGAGCACATGGAGAAGGTGCACATCTCCTGCCCTGCCCGGAGCTCTGCGTGAAGCCCTGGCAAAGAACACAGACCAGCCACGGATGTCATTTCTCGGAAGGGAGCCCCAGAACAAGCGCTCAACGTGGGGGGGCAGTTTGGCCCTTGCAGCATTCCACTCAATGCTGCTCCTCTGTTGTGCTCCTGTCCTCTTTCTCCACGTGGCTGAAGATGATGGTTCCCCTGTATTCCCCCCCCCCCCCGTAATCTTCTGATTGTGCTATAAGCTAAATTGGATGTGAGAAACCTTGACTGGCCCCGAAATAACCAAGGGAGCCTCAAGGATAGAGGGGGGGGGGTATTTGAATCTGGGTCTCGTTCCTCCCTGGGGCTTTTCTGACTAAAGGAGAATATTTATAGCTCAGGGTTTCTGTTGTGACTGTTTGTGACATTCATAAAAAGGAAGAGCTTTTATAGGGACTCCATAGCATATGGTCTACGCGTATAGTAATGATTTATTTGAGATTACATCCCCTGCTATGTTTGGAAATACAATCCCTCACTCCTCGGGAGCCGTCGAATAACCTCCCAAGAAGCTGCCTCTTTCTAACCCAGCTCTGTTGCGTTTTCTCTCCGCAGTGCGCTGTGCGCCTTGCCAAAATGGTCGGCTATGTCAGTGCCGGGACAGTTGAGTACCTCTATAGCGAAGGAGGGCGCTTCCACTTCCTTGAGCTGAACCCTCGCCTGCAGGTGGAACACCCTTGCACGGAAATGATTGCTGACGTCAACTTACCGGCTGCTCAGCTCCAGGTATTTTGTGTTCCCAAGTCAGTTTCTCCAGCAGCAATTCTGGAGAGTGTCAGAGAGAGAAGAACGTAGCCCATGTTGCAGATAAGGCAAGCGGTTTCTTTGTAAGCACCTCCTTCTCCAGAAGAAGCACCGAGACACCTAACAAATTCTTCTCGACGTGTTTCCCTTTCTGTTTTTTCCTCCTTTCAGATTGCCATGGGGGTCCCGTTGCACAGAATAAAGGACATCCGAGCGCTCTACGGAGGGTCCCCCTGGGGGGACAACCCCATCGCTTTTGAGGGCCCCAAGAGTGCTCCTGTTCCCAGGGGCCACGTCATAGCAGCACGAATCACCAGTGAAAATCCCGACGAAGTCAGTGGAGTTAAAAATCTGTCATCTCTTCCTTTTAAGGAGGGCAAATGCCTGGAAAGGCTGGGTGGCCCCATAGCTGGCTGGGCTCTAGCTTGCCGTGTAAGAGGATAGAATCCTTCTGTTAAAATGGTGGCAGACGTCTCTAAAACACATTGTAGATATTAAACAAACCTCCCCGTTCTTATTTGTTTAAAGTATTTGTTCTGCGCCTTTCTTTTCTACGTTCTCCCCGTGACTGCTTCAACTGATAACTAAAAATAATGAGCATGGCTTAGGGCAGTAGTGTAAAAGACCACTGATTTTTTTTTCCAATCAGGGCAGATTCTGGTGCTTAATTGGTTTAAATGGCCACGAAGGAGACAGTTTGTTACCACCAGGCCTAACGGACCAGGAGGGGCCTTTAGATTAATCTCTGCCTGCTCAGGAGCCTTCTCTCTTTCGGGTCTGGGGCAGGGCCAGGCGCTGCCTGTGTGGCTCTTAAGTGCTTTGATGTGGCCTCAGTTCTGCCAAAGGTGAGCGAAGTCTGCCTTTCCTGCCCCCCCCTCACCCTTACCTGTCTTTTGCGCCCCCCCCTGCAGGGTTTCAAGCCCAGCTCTGGCACCGTGCAAGAACTGAATTTCCGCAGCAGTAAGAACGTCTGGGGATACTTCAGCGTGGCAGCCACCGGTGGCTTGCACGAATTTGCCGATTCCCAGTTTGGACACTGTTTCTCCTGGGGAGAGAACCGCGAGGAGGCCATCTCGTCAGTATTGTCTTCTCTTGGGCTTTCCTGGGTGATGGAAACCTTGCAGGGGCTTCCCCGGAAGGCAGTCGGGACTCTCCGTTGTCTCTCTTTTTATGGGGGGGTCACTCCTGGGTTCTGCTTCCTGCCTTCCTAAAAAGACCCATTTTTACTGGGATGGTCGCACATCCCAAAAGGAACCTAATCCTGTCAGCTCACCTCCCTTTTCAGGGGCGTCATTTTCACATAGACCCCACCCCCGGAATTGAAACAGGCGGCTAGAGCAGGCTGGGGCTTTATGCGTCTGGCTTGTTGGCTTTCAGAAATTTGGTGGTGGCTTTAAAGGAGCTGTCCATCCGTGGTGACTTCAGGACGACGGTTGAGTACCTGATTAAGTTGTTGGAGACAGAGAGTTTCCAGACGAACGAGACCGACACCAGCTGGCTCGATCATCTGATAGCTGAAAAAGTGCAGGTAGCAAGTCTCAGAATTGGACTGCTGGGCAGATTTGCCGGGACTGATGCTTGCATCCCTTGAGCCTTCCTTTTTCAAAAGATTCCTGAGTCTATATTTTCTGTTTTAGATGCCACATTTTTTTATCTGGATTTACTCTTTATTTATGTTTGGGAACCTTTTGCATTGAAAGACTCATCGATGTATGAGCAAATTCCAAAGTGAGCAAATTCTTCCGCCATTGGCAGGCGGAGAAACCAGACATGATGTTGGCGGTGGTCTGTGGTGCCCTTAACGTGGCAGATGCCTCCTTTAGGACCTGCATGGATGATTTCCTGCATTTGCTGGAGAGGTGAGCCGTCATCCAGGCCTGGCCGTTTCATGCAACCCGTTGCGCAATCAGCAGATCTCTGTGAGACGCCCCACAAGTGTAAACGCTTTAAAATGTATTCATGATAGAGTTCCACCAATTAAGATGTGCTGGGATGATTTGTGGAACGTTGTCTTCCTAATATCCAGCATGTCTATTATGTTTGTCAGCCATTCTGGAGTCTCTTAGAAAGAGTTACAGAGGGCGAACATGATGTGTTCCTCTGAACAAATTTGAGAACCCTTTTCTGACCTTCAACAGAGAATTAACTTGAAAGGCTCAGGACATTTTTTGATCAGAAGTGTAAAGGCTTGGCTGGTTTTTCAGGGGCCAAGTTCTGCCAGCAGCCTCCCTCCTGAATATTGTCGACGTGGAACTTATTTACGAAGACGCCAAATATGTGCTTAAGGTATGCTTGGCCCAAATTTTCATTGACTGAAATGGGAAAATTCTTTTTCCGGTAGAATGGGAAGGGAGTTGTTGAATTTGGCCCTCCCTCCCCCTTTTTAAAAATAAAATAAAATAGCAATCAGCATTTACGTCTGAACCTGCCTTTGGAAGGAAAGCAAAAAAGGCTGTTTCTTTTCATTTCCGCGGCCTCTGGCAGGTGGCCCGTCAGTCCCTGACGACCTACGTCATCATAATGAACGGCACCCACATTGAGATCGACGTGCACCGGCTGAACGACGGGGGGCTCCTCCTGTCTTACAACGGCAACAGCTACACCACGTACATGAAAGAAGAAACCGACCGGTAGGTGATGAAATGGGTCTCCTTTCAGCTATGCACAAAAGCTCACACTTACTACGTGTCCCAGACCTCACAAACCCACTTCCTTCCATTGCACAACCGTTTCTTAATCTCTGCGATGGGCTACTTGAGCAAGAATCCCTTCTGTATGGAACGGGGGGACCCGGGAAGTGTCCAGTTGATGAGCTCGACTGAAAGAAGCAAGGTCCGAGACATCCAACAACATTTTTATATTTTTTCCTTTTTATGGCTTCTTCGTTCTCTGGCTTCTGACCTCCAGATACCGCATCACAATTGGCAACAAAAGCTGTGACTTTGAAAAAGAGACAGACCCAACCTTGCTCCGGGCACCCTCTGCAGGAAAACTGCTGCAGTATATGGTGGAGGACGGGGGCCACATCTCTGTGGGTCACAGCTATGCAGAAATGGAGGTAACACCTGCTCTGGCCGGGGGGGGGGTGGAGATCTAGATTCTTCACGGTGGAAAGTGGCTCCCACTGTTCGGTTCCTGACTTTAACGTGCCTATTTTGGGAGCGTTCTGGCTCTGCTAGCTGGCTGGCAGTGAAGTGACCAGCTGGCTCAGCCTTTTCCTCCTTCGGACCCTCATGCTGGACAGCTTAGCTTTGGTCCACTTGCCGGACGCTCAAAGCATAATGGATCATGTGGGGATCATTTGGAAACCACCGATCACGTGCAGGTGTGTTGCTTTCCAAACAACAGGTGATGAAGATGGTGGCCTCCTTGACAGTGGAAGAGTCGGGCATCATCCACTACGTGAAGCGGCCGGGCACGTTGCTAGAGGCCGGCTGTGTGGTAGCTCGGCTTCAACTGGATGACCCCACTAAAGTTCACCTGGTGAGTGACGGAGCGGCTGGAAGCCACTTGGGAGAGAGCAAAAGCCGCCTGGCAGCGCTCGGAGTTTGCCAGGCACCCGGGAGGGATCCAGGAGGCCGCCTAGTGCATCTCCTCAGGGCTGCTCTTGCCCCCCAGAAGCGACTGGGCTGCCTCTTGCGTGTCCAGGTGCTTCTGGGGACGAACAGCCTTGCGCTAGAACTCCTGTGAAGTCATTTCCAGATCACAGGAAGCTCCAGAACGGTGGATTTTCTGGTTATAACGTTCCGTTTATTTTTCATGTTTTGCCTCTCTACCCGCCGATGCTTCCCCCAGGCCCAGTTGTACATGGGGGGGCTCTCCCCTCAGCCGCCCCTGCCCATCCTTGGCGAGAAGCTGCACCAGGTCTTCCACAACATGCTGGAGAACCTGCAGAATGTCATGAACGGCTACTGCTTGCCAGAGCCTTATTTCTCCGCCAAGGTAAGACGTTGCTGGGGTTTTCTTTTTCACCTTTGCCTATTAAAAACCACGCTTGGAAAAAGCTGGCTTGGGATACCCTGAGAATACATTCCTGACCTCAAGGAAACGCTGGGAAGATTTTGCTTCGACTTTTGCAAAGAGGAGGAGGAAGGCCTTGAAAGATGGCAGAACGAGCTGCTCCTAAACCGATGCAGGTTGCAAAAGGAGAGGCTAAAAGAAGAGCCAGAAAAGAAGCTTCTTCTGTGGGAAAATCCTAATTTCCCCCTTCCGGCCAGTCTCCATTGCTAATCGCCCCAAATCTCCTGAGCCGGAGGGAGGCCCCTTGCCCTCCCGTGTTCGGTTGTCTGCTACCACGCAGAGGTCCAGAGCCCCCTTGCTTATGCCTTCTGTGGTTCACTCACACGATCCCTGAATCCTTGAACCTTTTTTCCCCAACTCAGATCAAAGAGTGGGTGGGTAAACTGATGAGGACCCTCCGGGATCCCTCCCTTCCCCTGCTGGAGCTGCAGGAGATCATGACAAGCACGCTGGGCCGGATTCCAGCTTCTGTGGAGAAGTCAATCCGAATAGTGATGGCCCAGTACGCCAGCAACGTCACCTCGGTGCTCTGCCAGTTCCCCAGCCAGCAGGTGAGGGAGGGGGGGAGTGAGAAAGATTGACGATACGGGCCGGCTGGGGAATTCTGGGAATTGAAGTCCACGTATCTTAAAGTTGCTAAGGTTGAGAAACACCGGCTGCTATAAAGGATTGTTTTTTCCTGGTTCTCTTTCTCTTCCAGATTGCCAGTATTTTGGACAGCCACGCAGCCACCCTGCAACGCAAAGCTGACCGGGAAGTCTTCTTCATGAATACCCAAAGTATTGTGCAGTTGGTTCAGAGGTAGGTTTGTGTGCTTGTCCTCCATCTTTGGGACAATCACACCGCAACACTTCCTGCCTGAGCATCTGCAGGGAAAGGCTGCCTCTTTCGTTGCACCAGCCAAGCTGATCTTCCTGCCTAGACCCCGGCCTGCTCTGGTCTAGGCAGGCCCCGAGCCAACAGTGAAGAAAGCAGACAGTGTTTCTAGCAGCCCTGAAGGTGATTTGAAAAGGGGAATGCATCCTCCTGCATTCAGCAGGGCTCCTGCAGTAAACAAGCTGAGCAGATTTTCTGCTTTTGTCACAAAAATTGTGCCCCAAACGTCTTTCGACGAATCATCTCCGACCCTCTTGCCCCACTTTCTCCATCGTTTGCTCCCAAGACCGGCAAGCGACTCGTGCACAGCATCTTCTCTCCCGCCCCCTGATTTCAGGTATCGCAGTGGCATCCGAGGCCACATGAAGTCGGTGGTGCTGGACCTGCTGAGGCGATACTTGCAGGTGGAGACCCAGTTCCAGCAAGGTAAGATGGAGGAGGAGGAGGAGGAGGGTGCTGGCAAGGCCTCCGGCAGAGCTACCTGGAAGAGGGCAGCTTCTCTGCAACTCTCCTCTCCTTGGGTCTCCTCTCTTGCTCCAGCTCATTACGACAAATGTGTGATCATCCTGAGGGAGCAGCACATGCCCGACATGACCCCCGTGCTGGAGTGCATTTTCTCCCACGCCCAGGTGGCCAAGAAGAACCTCCTGGTGACCATGTTGATTGTAAGTTGAACAGGAGCCGCTTCCTGAGCAGGAGAAAAGACCTCTGGCCCCTCCCCAGCAACGCCCCTTCCCCACCTGGCCGCAGGGCTGCAGGCCCGGCCCAGCTGGGAGGTCAGGCCGGGGAGCGCAGCCCTTCCTTACCCTTCCAGAGAACACCAGCGCAGTGAGGCAGCTGAGCGGTTGTTTTGTTTCTGATGCCCAGGAGCAGCTGTGTGGCCGAGACCCGACCTTGACCGATGAGCTGATGGCCATCCTGAATGAGCTCACCCAGCTCAGCAAAACGGAGCATGCCAAAGTGGCCCTAAGGGCCCGGCAGGTCAGGCCAGGGGTTGCCGGTCATCCTGGCTGATTCTCCCTGACTCACCTGGGTGGGGGTGGGGTGGGGGACTCTGTTGACCCAGCCCTCCTTTCCCCCCAGGTGCTGATCGCTTCCCACCTCCCGTCCCACGAACTGCGGCACAACCAGGTGGAGTCCATCTTCCTCTCGGCCATCGACATGTATGGGCACCAGTTCTGTCCTGAGAACCTAAAGGTGACTTCTTGAGCATCCAGTCCCCTCGGAGTCCGAGGTCCGAGCCGCCTCTGCTTACTTGGCGTGGGTTCCATCTTTTATAGAAACTCATCCTTTCGGAAACCACCATCTTTGACGTCTTGCCCACCTTCTTCTATCACGCCAACCAGGTGGTGCGCATGGCAGCCCTGGAGGTAAGGAGAGAGCTGGAACCGTTTCCAGGGAGAGCGGTGTTGCCTGCTGGGGCTCAAGGGTCACGTGGCCCTGCCTCAGGCCCTTACTGACCCTTGCCCATGATTAACATTGAGCTGCTGCCCCACTTCCTCACCCGCAGTGCCTCCTTAATGGATGTGTTGGTGCCCAACCTCTGGGCTGTGCTTTCCCTTTGCCAGTTTTGTTTCTGCCTCTGCAGCCAAAGGTTCTTCTTGCTCTAAAACAGGAATCTCCAAACTTGGCAACTTTAAGACTTGTGGTTCAACTCCCAGAATTTGTCAGCCATCCCTGCTGTAGAATTGTGCAGCAAAACCATGCAGATAATCCAGAGTCCTGAAGTTGGACACTGTTTTCCTGCTGCTTTGCTGATCCACCATCCTGCCCAATCCAAGTGGCCCTTTTGCCTGCTGTAATAATATCTGTGCATGGAGAAAAACATGAAAAGGCACCTTGGCCACAGATTAGCCAAGATTAGGTCTTGCTTCCTTCTGTCCTTCCAGGTGTATGTGAGGCGAGCCTACATTGCCTACGAACTGAACAGCCTGCAGCACCGCCAGCTGCTGGACGGCACCTGCGTGGTTGAGTTCCAGTTCATGCTGCCTTCCTCCCATCCCAACAGGTAGGGCACAGGTGCCTCGGCCTTCCTAGTGTTCGCGGGGGGTTGGGGGAGGCCGAGGAGAAGCGGGAGAGGGTCTGCCTGGGGGAGGTTTCAGGATCACTTGCTGGTCTCCTGGGGGGAGAAGGCCGAGTGGTCCCGGTGCGTCTGTCTCGGACCAAGGGGGCTATTTGTGTTCCTGTCTCTTTTCAGAGGAAGCAGCCCCACTCTGAGCAGGTAGCGTAGCGTGTCGAGTTCTTTTGGCTCTGCAGCATGACAACAATTACACAAAAAACTCGGCTCCGCCATAACTGCCTCCTTGACTTTTCTCTTAACTGCCCCGCTCCAAGCCCTTTGGATTTGCTACTAACTTCCCGTCTGAGAGCATGTGAGGGCAAAACGGGCTCCTTGCTGGACCCCTGTAGCAAGCGGGCGATGGAGAGCGGCAGGGGGCTCCCTTTTGCAAAGGGGCTGCCTTTTTTTAAAGCCCCTTGAAAAGAAAAGTTCCAGTTCCTAGCGGCCTCCGGGCTTGTGTCTGTCCAGCTGGATGTGCCAGCTCTGTCAGCTGCTCTTGGAAGCAGAGGACCTCAGTTCTACGCCCATGAATGGGTGGCCTGCTCCCTCTGAGGTTTGCCCCCTTCCTTGCGCTTCCCCCCTCCCAGAATGTCCGTGCCGGTCAGCATCTCCAACCCAGACTTGGCCCGGCACAGCACGGAGCTCTTCATGGACAGCGGTTTTTCCCCTCTCTGCCAGAGAATGGGAGCCATGGTGGCCTTCGACAGATTTGAAGATTTCACCCGGTTGGTGGCCCTCCTGGGAAAGGGACGAGGGGGCGGGGGGGCTCCTGGGCATGGCCTTGTGGCCCTCACTGGGGGGGGGCTGCATTGCCGTTCCGGTTGGGCTCAACTATGGGCCACTCCAGCTGCACCTGTCGGGAGTTGCAGTCCTGCGTGCTCTCCGTGGGCGAGGGAGCTTTCATCCCTTCTTCCTCACTTTCTTCCACTTGATCTTTCTTTTTTTAGAATTTTTTAATCTCACCTTTGTTATTTTTGAGGTCTCTTGACTTGTTCTCCAACTAGATGAGTGCCAATTCATCTTGGAAGAATGAGTTACCTGGTTGGGGAGGGGGAGGGAATAGAAAAGCAAAATGTTTGGAAAATATAAGCCTGGTTTAAACCTGTCCCTGCAGGTAGAGAGCGGCCAAGGTGAGGTTGCAGCCCTTTCGGTTCTTGAACCAGAGAGGCCCTTGCAGGATTAGATTTAGCTCCTCAGTAGTAAGGTATTTGGTTCCTAGATTGTTTAACTTCTCACTCCGGCCTCTCATTTTTTTTGTGCCAGGAATTTTGATGAAGTCATTTCCTGCTTTGCTGAGCCCCCCGTGGAGAGCCCCCTCTTCAGCGAAGTGAGATCCACCTTTTACGATGAAGACGACAACAAAGTGAGTTCTTCTGGGCTGCAGACTTCTCTCTGCTGCCTTCTGGCTGAGCCTAACCTGTGTGGGGTTGTGGCTTCCAGAACGTCCGGGAGGAACCCATCCACATCCTGAACGTGGCCGTACGGTGGGCAGATCACCAGGAGGATGAGGAGCTGGTGCCGATCTTCAGGGCCTTCGCCCAGTCCAAGGTCTGTTCTCACGACACCCTGGCTTCCTCCCCTGGGCTGCTTGGCCCCCAACCTGGCTGAAGGAAAGCTTATTCCTTCATTTGCCTGCTTCCGTGCTTTACAAGTGGGCCTTGTGAACCCTTTGCTCTGCATGCCTCCTTCCGTGTTCCCTTCCTCTTATGTCCCGGTGATAGGAGGGCAGTTCACCAGATTTTCTTCCGAGATTATTCAGGTATTTTGTCTTTTCTCATCTTCTTTCCCCCTCCAGAATAATATCCTTGTTGACTACGGGCTCCGAAGAATCACATTTTTGATAACACAGCAGGTCAGTGAAAATGAATATGTGAAATAAGCCCGTGAAGTAAATAAATAAATATGCTTGTGTGTTATGTATGTAAAAGTTCTGTGTTCTGTTGCAGAGGGAGTTCCCAAAGTTCTTTACTTTCCGAGCACGGGATGAGGTGAGGGGTGACTTAATGCTTACACTCTGCGTGATCTCGGTTTTAACATGTGGTGGGTGCAAGCTTGGCCTCAACATTAAGTCCCACAAGGTTTTGCGGCGCTTCCTCTCCGCCTTCTGCAGTTTGCTGAAGACCACATCTATCGCCACTTGGAACCAGCGCTGGCTTTCCAGCTGGAGCTGAATCGGATGCGCAACTTCGACCTGACCGCGGTGCCCTGTGCCAACCACAAGATGCACCTTTACCTGGGTGCCGCCAAGGTGGAGGAAGGCACCGAGGTCACCGACTACCGGTTCTTCATCCGCGCCATTGTCAGGCACTCCGATCTGATCACCAAGGTGAGTTTGGGGCTGAGTTGCAGGCATCGCTTTCTGCTCGTGTGGGGCCCTCGGTGCTGTTTTCTTGCGTGGGGCCCTCGGGCTGTTTTCTTGCAGACGTTTCATGACCCAAACTAGGTAACCTCATCGTTGTAGTGTACCCCTACTCCCTTGGAGGGCAGCTACATGGCTGATTTACAAGCCTTGCCTTTTTTCTCCCCCTTCCCCCCCCTCCTCCTCCTCTGTCTTTCCTCCCAGGAAGCCTCTTTCGAGTACCTGCAGAACGAGGGCGAGCGGCTGCTCCTGGAAGCCATGGATGAGCTGGAGGTGGCCTCCAGCAACATCAGCGTCCGCACCGACTGCAACCACATTTTCCTCAACTTTGTCCCCACCGTTGTGATGGACCCCTCCAAGGTCTGGGTGGCTTCCTCTCTCCATCTCTAAAAGGCCTGCTGCGCTCGCGGCATAAGAGGCTCCTCCCCCTGACCACATTTTGCTGGGCCCCCAGATCGAGGAGTCTGTGCGGTCCATGGTGATGCGGTACGGCAGCCGCCTCTGGAAGCTCCGGGTCCTTCAAGCAGAAGTGAAGATCAACATCCGCCTGATGCCGACAGCCCAAGCGGTTCCCGTCCGCCTCTTCCTCACCGACGAGTCCGGATACTACCTGGATATCAGCCTCTACAAGGAAGTCAGCGACCCCAACACTGGAAGCGTAGGTGCCCTCGAGCAGCTCAAATACTTCCAGCCTCCTCCAGCTTTGCTTTGCTCCTTCTCCCAGGGGTTGGTGGTCCTCCAGGGTTGTATTTCCCAACTGAGCTCCCCCCCCAGGTGCTTTGGGTCCATACAGACTTCATCACATGTTGAGGGGATCTGGGAACCGTGGCCGAGGGCACCTCCAGACCTTTTATGCGTGCATTGGTGAAAATTCTGGATTGCAGAGTGAATGCTGCTTCTTGACTGACTTGAATTGCCTGATCCTTTTTCCCCCCCCCCCCCGCTTTGTGTCCTGGGCTAGATTATGTTCCACTCCTATGGAGAGAAGCAGGGGCCCATGCACGGGATGCTGATCAACACGCCCTACGTCACCAAGGACCTGCTCCAGGCCAAGCGCTTCCAGGCCCAGTCGCTTGGCACCACCTACGTCTACGACTTCCTGGAGATGTTCCGGCAGGTGGGCTGGTCCTCTCGCCTTGCTCTTTCGGCCATCTGAGTGGAAAGACACTCAGTGCAGCTGCTGTTCGCTGGGCTTCCACTGGGACTGTGGACGGGCTCCAGATTTAATGTTCGAGAGGCCCCAGAGTAGAGGTTGTGTGTTCTAGTTTGCCTCTTCATCGGAGCTCGGTCTTCCTGACGGAGAGCCCACTGCTCATCCTTGCAGAGAAGGATCTCTAGGTCCCAGGGAAATGTCCTCCTCTTCATTCCCTTGAGCTGTCTGCCACTAAGGATCCCTCTGTGAGTCTTCCTCTTCCTTCTCAGGCTCTGTTCAAGCAATGGGGATCCACTGAGGACGCCAGCCCCACCGACGTGCTGACTTACACGGAACTGGTGCTGGATGCCCAGGGGAAGATGGTGCAGCTGAACAGGCTGCCGGGAGGAAACGAGGTGAGCGCCGAGACAAGCCGAAGCTTGAGGGAGAAGTGGGGATCGTCGGGGAGGCCAGAAACAGCTGGGTGCCCTTGCAGACCGAGAGACAGCCTGCCCCTTTTTCCTCTTAAGCTGGCTTGCTGCAGCCCTCTGCTAAGAGAGTTCAGCGGCAGAATGGCGGAACGTCCTCCAGATTAAGAAATGCAGCTTGTTTACTCTGCTTTTGGTCAGTTCCTCTTTCCTCCTCCTCCTCCTCCTCCTCCTCCTAGATCGGAATGGTGGCCTTCAAAATGAAGCTGAAGACCCCCGAGTACCCCAAGGGCCGCGACATTGTGCTCATCAGCAACGACATCACCTACAAGATTGGCTCCTTCGGGCCTGCCGAGGATCTCCTTTTCCTGCGGGCATCCGAGCTGGCCCGTGCAGAGGGCATCCCGCGGGTCTACATTGCGGCCAACAGTGGTGCCCGCATCGGGTTTGCCGACGAGATCAAGAGCAAGTTCCAGATAGGCTGGATAGATCCAGCAGATCCCTACAAGGTATGTGGATTACTGTGGGAACCCAGCGGGATTCCATCACGGCCGAATCGCCCCTCGGGAAGATGGGAAGACGCCTTTGTGGCTCAAGCGGAATCTCCTTGCCTGGCCAGGGAGAATTTCGTGGCTTTTCCAGGGCCGCCTCCGTCGTGTCTGAAGGTAGAATATCAGGCAGGCACGAAGCGCTGGCTCCTTAATTAACGAGCAGAGAGGCTACCATTCTCCAAACTCCTCACTGTGGAAGAGCAGGAAGGACTTACTGCCCCAAATCTAAGGGGGGAACAAGAAAACATTTTCCCCCAGTTCCTGGTTCCTTTTTGAGGAGGGCCAGCAAAACGATCGAATTATATGCTTATCTAAAGGCTTTCTAGCAGTCTTCCTCTACCAGATTTATCCAACCAATCCTGCCCACCCCTCCCCTCTTTTCCCAAGGGATTCAAGTACCTGTACTTAACGCCGCAGGATTACACCAGGATCAGCTCCACAAATTCTGTTCACTGCAGGCATGTTGAAGAGGCCGGTGAGTCCAGGTGAGCAGCTCCTCTCCTTTCGGACTTTCTCCCCTGGGGGGGCGGGGGGGGAGGGCAGGGAGAAGCTCTGTGTGTGTGCGTGTGTGTGTGTGTGTTCATCTTCTGCCTGCTCTCGTCTTCTGCAGGTATATCATCACTGATATAATTGGTAAAGAGGAAGGCTTTGGGGTGGAGAACCTAAGAGCGTCCGGCACCATCGCTGGGGAGTCCTCTCTCGCCTATGACCAGATTGTCACCATCAGCATGGTACGGCCGCGCATCCCTTTGTTTCGGCTGCGGTGAAAACGGCAGCCAAGAAACCCTGTTCCAAACTAAATAGCGGCTTTTGCTTCCTCGGCCATAAAGTGGCTCCTTGGCTTCTGTCATGCAGGTAACCTGTCGAGCCATCGGGATTGGGGCTTACCTGGTCAGGCTCGGCCAGCGAGTGATCCAGGTGGAGAATTCCCACATCATCTTGACTGGGGCTGGCGCTCTGAATAAGGTATGGATGGGGTTTGTTTGGGCTTCCGGTGTTGTCTTTTGTTTAAGCTTGCCTAAGAAAAGTGCCTTAAAGAAACAAAGGAAAGCTCCCACGCTCTGACTAGGTGCCAGCTGTGTGAGTGAAGAATCGGCCGGTGGGAAATGATGCAGGCTTGCCCTTGTATGTAAAACAATAGATTCCCATTAAAAAGAACTCCCACTCGGACGAGAGGTTGGTGCTGGATTACAGCCTTCAAAGCCAGGTTGTTTTACTTATCATTTATCGTTCCCCTGTGGGAACATTTGCATCCCAAATTCTTCAGTGCCATATTAGTCCAACAGCGGGCTTCGGGAAGCCCGTCCTGCCTCCTCCAGCCTTGATGGCATCTGAAGCTTCAGGATAACGAGCGGGGCAAGAGCCACGTTTGTTTGCAGACCCTGAGCTGCAAAAATGTGTCCTGCTGAGCCGTTTCCAAAGATCCAGGTGTGACCGCTAGGAAGCTGCGCTCGGAGTCTTGAGGAAAGCGCTGTTTTTATGGGCCTTTTCATCCTCCTTTGTGGCAGGTCTTGGGCCGGGAAGTCTACACTTCTAACAACCAGCTGGGCGGAGTGCAGATCATGCACAACAACGGGGTCTCCCATGTGGCTGTCCCCGATGACTTTGAAGGCGTCTACACCATCCTCCATTGGCTCTCCTACATGCCCAAGGTACCTCAAGGGCAGTGGAGGAGTGCCAGGCTGCCGATTTGCAAATCCTCCCCCTCCTTCAGTAGAGGATGGTGAGGGCAATGGTGCCAGCATTTAAATGAGGGAGGAATTTCCTCTTGTGGATCCTTTGCCTAATATCTTACACTGAAGTTCTTTTATTTCATTACAGCAGCCTTTCCAGCTTAATTGGGCCACAGGTTGTTTTTTTTTTTAAATTAAGTAATCTATGTATTATAATAGAAAAACAAGCAGCTTCTATAATTGGGTAAGATTGGGTAACAAGCATCTTTGCTTGTTTAATGTCACAATCAGATTTCTTCAATTACCTGGAAGAGCCTGTTTCTTCCCTCCCTGACCGCTGCCACGTGGGGCACTTCTTTCTTAAAACCGGCCTTGAGAAATGTTTCTTCTTGCAGGACCATCACAGTCCGTTGCCCGTTATCCCTCCAAGTGACCCCATTGATAGAGAAATTGACTTTGTCCCTTCTAAAGTCCCCTACGACCCCCGGTGGATGCTGGCGGGGAGACCCCATCCGAGTGAGTATCTTACCCCACGGTAACTCTGGGGGGCTCACAATATTAGTAGGCCTTTCCTGTGGATTCTCCTGGCATGTTTGGGTTTCCCCCTTCCTGAATATTCTCCGGTTTTGCATAACGGAGCAGCAGAGGTTAGAGAGCTGCATGGTTTAGAAGACTTGGCCTTGAGCTTTCTCTCCCTTTTTTTCCCTCTCCATCTTGTTGTGCAGCTGTGAAGGGATCTTGGCAAAGTGGGTTTTTTGATCACGGATCATTTGCAGAGATCATGAAGCCCTGGGCCCAGACTGTGGTGGTCGGCCGAGCCAGGTATCGTCAAAGGGCTGGAGCTGGCTGAGAAGCAGCCGGGAGGAGGGAGGGGGCAAGGGAGTTTGGACCTTAAAGTAAGTGGGAACTTCCTTTCCTGCCCCGGCTGGTGCACGTCTGCCTATAAGGCATGAGAAAGAGTTCAGCACCCCCAAATCTTTGTTCCCAAGTTTTAAAATGCTAAAATTCCTATGCTTGTGAAATAAACAATGGCATATTATGTATTGACTGGTTGTATTGAGTACATGTATCCCTAAACTGAAGTCTGGACTTGTCTTGGCAGGCTAGGAGGCATCCCAGTGGGCGTGATAGCCGTGGAGACCCGGACGGTGGAACTCGCCATACCAGCTGATCCAGCAAACCCAGAATCAGAAGCGAAGGTTGTGCCTTGCAGAATTCAGAACCTTTTGTCTTGCAGGGCATCTGGTCAGTTTATCTGTCCATCTCTCTGCCTTGCTTTTCTCAAGCTTCCCAGAATACAATTCCACATCACATTGTCGTCTCCAGTAAAAGGACACCTCTGTGAAATCGGCCCTCCCCATACAATGTGTCGAGGACTTATTTTTGCGTAATGCCTGATTGGTGTATTAATTCAGGGTGACCCGTAAATTTTTCCTTCTCGTCTTCCCTAGATAATCCAGCAAGCCGGGCAGGTCTGGTTCCCAGACTCAGCTTTTAAAACTGCCCAGGCCATCAGGGACTTTGACCACGAGCACCTTCCCCTCTTGATCTTCGCCAACTGGAGGGGCTTCTCTGGTGGCATGAAAGGTACTCTTCCTGCACCACCACCCCCAATCACATCAGTAGCCGCCAGAGAGAGAAGGTGGGGGTGACTTCTCGGCCTCTGGTTGCAGATATGTACGACCAGGTGCTGAAGTTCGGGGCGTCCATTGTTGACAGCCTCCGGCAGTTCAAGCAGCCAGCCCTCGTCTACATCCCCCCACATGCTGAGCTGCGGGGGGGCTCCTGGGTGGTGATTGACTCCACCATCAACCCCCTCCACGTGGAGCTCTATGCAGACAAAGAGAGCAGGTGAGTGCACGGCTGCTTCCTCACCTTCTTTGTGGTCGCATCTTTGGGTGGCAATCCTGGGCTACTGAAATTGGCCTGCTCTCCAAAACATCTCCTAATCTGTGAGTTTCTCCCTGGCTAGAATGACAGCTACAGGTATCTTTATTTTTGCTGAAGACCTTGAGACATTTTGTGTACTGGTCAGGGTTTCGGTGGAAAAGTGTCTCCATTTTTTTCCTTACAAAAGCAACTTGTTCTTTAAGTTTGCCTGCTTCCAGGGCCCATTGTGAAATGCTGGCCAGAGACTCTGGAGGCCCAAGGGATCAACACACACACACACACACACACACACACACACACACACACTGGGTTACATGGGGGGGGAGGCTTGTTCTGACTTGCCTAGCGCTTGTCAGCACAAGAGGAGGGGCTGCTGAAGACCCCTTGGGGGCTTGGCAAAAGAGCTCTGCTTTGCAGGGGAGGCATCTTGGAAGCGGAAGGAACCGTGGAGATCAAGTTCAGGAAGAAAGAGCTGCTCAAGACCATGAGGAGGGTCGATGCCACCTATGCACGGCTGGCGCAGCAGCTGAGTAAGCGGAAGGCCAAGCCGGGCCTGCCCTCCATCCCCTTCCCTTCCCTGCTGCTGCTGCTGCCTGATCTGCAGCTCTTGGGGGAGCAGGGCTTCGGGTGGGAACATCGTCCTTGGGCTGGTGGGGGTCTCCTCCCCAGCCCACCTACCCACACGCCTCAGGCTTACTGGGCCCTCCCAGACTGGCTCCTTTCCGATCGGTCCTTTCTGTGTTCTGGGACAAGCAGGTTCTCCGGACCTGCCCCGAGGGGATCGCAAAGAACTGGAGCAGCAGCTGAAGAGGCGAGAAGATAACCTCCTGCCCATCTTCCACCAGGTGGCCGTGCATTTTGCTGACCTCCACGACACCCCCGGGAGGATGCAGGAGAAAGGAGTGATTTCAGTAAGCAGCCGGGCCTGGAACCCTGGAAGGGATTCTGCTTCCTTTGAGCTTCTCCCAGCCCAGCCAGGGGTCTTGGGGGCTCTCACCCTCCAGTTCCTGAGCAGCTCTGCAGCCGAGGGGCAGGACTGCCCTGTCAACTGCCGTCTGGGGTCACTCGTCTGCGCTTTCTCTCCAGCTCTGAGCTTTTAAAGGTGGAGAAAAACCAGAAAGGGCTCCTTAAGTGATTGAATAAGACGTCGGCCATTTCTTGCAGAGGGCAGGTGGGTTAGGAAGACCTGAGTCTGTGTGCAGTAACAGTTGTGGGAATGTGCCGCCCTGAGTCCACTAGGAGAAGGGCGGGGTATAAATTTGAATAATAAATAATAAAGTGATTTGGCGTGTGGTCTTCCGTTTCAGGACATTCTTCAGTGGAAGGAGAGCCGCGCCTTTTTCTACTGGCGGCTGCGGCGGCTGCTGTTGGAGGAGGTGGTCAAGGCCGAGATCCTGAGTGCCCACAGCGAGCTGAGCAACAGCCACATCCAGTCCATGTTGCGACGCTGGTTCCTGGAGACGGAAGGCGCAGTCAAGGTCTGGGAGGGGAACCGGCTTCCCTCGTCTCTCACTGCTCTTGCTCTCCCTCCTTCCCAGCTGAGGGCAGCTCTCCATTTCTCCCTCCCGTAGGGTTACCTCTGGGATAGCAACCAGGTGGTGGTGGCATGGCTTGAGAAGCACCTGAGCGAAGAGGACGGGGCCAAGTCGGCCATCCGGGAGAACATCAGATACCTGAAGCGCGATTATGCCCTGAAACATATCCGGAAGTGAGTCCCCAGGAGAATTCCCTTCCTGGTGGGGTGGTGGTGTTCTCTGAGAGGGCCCATGAACCGGTCATTCCGGGGCATCGGAATTGAACGGTTGGGATGGCCTAGGAAGAGGCCTGGGAGCCCCGAGGGCATTTCTTGGAGCTGGGAGGAATCAAACACTTTGTATTTTCTGCTTAAATGAGAGTGCAGAATGAGTGCGTCCTCTGCTCTCTAGAGATCCTAAGACTTAGGCTGCCTGCATTGCTTCGTTGTGCAATACGTGAAGAGGACGCGAGAGGGCATTTGAAGGCTCCCGATGAAAGAGGGAACTCTTTGTCTCTGGACGGGCCCACAGGTGGCTGTCTTTGGATGCTGAGATGCCAGGATATTACGTGCTTCCAAAGTGCTCCTCTTTACTGGCCCACTCGCTTCGACTTGGCAGTCTTTTCCTTCTTCTGCTTTTCTCCTTAATTTTTGCTTACCTTGAAATAGTTGCTGAGCAAAACACCAGTCGTGTTTGTGACTCACAAATTCAGAAGAGGAAACAAACTTTTTGCATTAAATCCTGGTAATTAAATCCCTCTTCTCTCTTTCAGCTTGGTAGAGGCAAACCCGGAGGTCGCCATGGACTGTCTCATTCACATGACCCAGCACATCACAGGTGCCCAGAGGGCGGAGGTGGTTCGCCTCCTGACCACGATGGACAATCCTTCCCCCTCTTGACTTGCGGCACTGGCAGCAGGAGAGGTGGCCAGCCCTCTGAGAAGCCAAGGAGACGGCAGCGGTAAACCGTCTTGAGTTGGTGAGCTCCGTCCTGCTGCAGCCTTGCAGTGCAGCTCTGGTTTGTCCTGAATTGGGACGGCCAGAATCTCCCACTTCCCAGGATTTGCTGTCCTGTCACACTCGGCGGCCCATATTTTCCCCAGCCATCTTGTGCCTACTGCATAATGTCCGAGGAAAGTGTTTGCATCACCCGGTTTAGAGTGTGTATGTTTAAAAGTAAGTGCATTTTCAATTATTGCCCAGGGTTATCTGTAAAATTAACGAATTCTCTTTCAAAAGACTCAGGACGTGCTTTTTGAAATGGGTGTCGGAGAAAAAAAATGTCTACCACCGAAGCCAACATGGAGTGGTTTGAGAAAACTTCCAAACAGGACTTCATTGCACTCCAGTGCAACTGTCTAGACTATTCTGCTCACTCCCTGAAGCATTTGATGGATTTGTGGAACGAGTGGACTTTGCTATAGGGGCAAGACAATCAAAACACACTTTTAGAGGGATAAATCATCAGCAGGTCGAAAGTATGTGAAACATCAGATGCATAAAACACTTTAAACTGCCCCCCCCGGCTCCCCCCTCCGATCTTTTCTGAAGGAGACCTGGGACAGAGGAGGTGACAGCTGAAGGTAATTTACATTGTCCAGCAGGTCCTCTGTTGGGCTGGAGTTCTTGGCAGGCCCACTAATCCTTCACGGGAGTGTGAGTGTCTCTGCCTCTGGCATTAATGCTTGAGCGTGTCTGGTCTGGGGTAGTGTTTTTTTCCCCCCTAGCAAGAAAATAGGATTATAAACTCCTTTTTCAGGGGAGGAAGAACCACATCACAAGATCTTGCTTTTTCTGGCTGGAGAGCTGTTAATAAGTCTGTCTTCTCAGGGAAGGGAGCCCCCAGCCCCAGAACATACTGTGGAGGAGCTGCAAATAGCTGTTGTTTTTTAATAAGAGCAACTCTTTGACTTTTGATACAGACTTCAATGTTTGTTTTACCTTTTGTGAGTTGGAGATTCATTAAACCAGTCTTGATTTTCTTAACGGTCCCGATTGCATTTCTTCATTCTCCACCCCAACCACCCCAGGAAAGATGCAAAATTGCTCTCTAGACCTGATTCGCCGGTGTGGATGCTGCCGCCGCCACTTAGCCGTGTCTCTGTCAGTAACACATTTTTATTGTCGTTTGTTTCCCTACAAAGCTGACAGTAGTAAATTATGGGATGATCAGCACATCAAATCATCAGAACTGAAAGTACATTTTCAAGGGGAAACCTTTTCGTAGACCATTTCCACTTCCGTCTGCGTTTTGCTTTTCTAGCCTCATCAGGCATTACAATGTCTGTAAGTAGTCTTATATTTGCTTTTTAAAAAAATATTTGTGTGAAACAGGTTCCTGAAGAACAGCCCATGAGGGTCATCCGGTAGGAGTTACACCCTGACTGCTTTCTTCTAAATGATCTAAGTTAGAAGCTGGTCTTCGGGGCCAGCTTTAGGCTAAGGCCACACAGGCACGGTCCTGGGGGAGCACCAGGGCTTAGGGGGCACCACCCCACCCCTTCTTCCCAAAACCAAGGCGGCTCTAAAAATGCACATCTTCCCATTGGCGGGAGGCGGCACCGTCGGACAACATGGCCTACTACGGGGACCCTCCTCTCCCCTTGGGTCAGCACCGGCGGCCTGTACATATCGGCCTCGTGCAGGGAGGCGGGTGCCTAAGTTAACCTTTATAAATGCAAATGACCCCTAACCTTTTAAGAAGTCAGCAGGCCTCTTCCCCCCCTTTTTTCCCCCCCAGGCAGAAAAAAAAGCCAGCGTGCTATAGCCTGTTCCTGATCTCTGGCAAGATACAAGAGAGGGCTACAGCAGAGCCATCCTGTAACCCTTGTTCTGGGTAAGGGTCTCCATGGGTGGGTCAGGGGAGCTTTCGGGGCCCTGGGGAAGGCTGTCGTGCGAACCACAAACCAGACAGTGGAGGGTCCCAGCATACTTGAAAGGCCCTGGGCTTTGCTGGAGAAAATGGTGCTGTCCCCATGGAACTCGGCTCCCCTTTGCTAAGATCTCCAGGGCGACCTGGAGGGTGAAGAGGGCCTTCGCACCTTCAGGGGGGTACATGCAATTTTCTTGAACAGCATTGTTTGGCCTCGTTTCTTTCAAACTGAAGTAGATGCAATTCTGAGACAACAGAAGAAATGATTAAAACCCTATTCACAGTAAAAAGGTGTTTGAAAATAAATATTAAATCAAAGTTAACCTGGTATTGATAGCCTACATGCTAAATCAGAAGGTCTTAACTGCAATGTGCAGCCTCTCCTATTAGTGGTCATTTTTTTAAAACAAACAGTAAACAAAGATTAATGCATGATATATTTCTAAGTAAACGTTCAGGGCTGAGCTGCAACAAAAATAACATTTTTATGTCAGTTGTAGAAAAGCTTTCTGCCTAAAACTAGGCTTGGTCTTTCACAGAAAATGTTACGTCTACAGTAAGTACATCCAAAGTGCTTCTTTTGAAATTGGAGTTTAAAAATGTCCAAAGTATCCTGGTGATTTTTAAAATAGTTTGCTGCAGTTTGAATAATTAAGTAAAAAAATATTAACAGTGTTTTTCAAAAGTCAGTGCTGAGCATAAAAAAATCCCCTTTTTGTTCTCATAAAAATAAATTATAAATAAAATTTACAAACAGTAATACTGCTTAGCCCGAGAATCAACAAACCTCCTAATCCTAATCTCTAGTATTTTTTTTTTCCAAAAAATCTGTAGTAAGATTGTTAATCCTAATAATCTATTCAAGGTAAAAAAAAAAAAAATTTCTCATTTAGTACATTATTTATCCTGGAACCCAGGACTTTTTCTGCTCTTGCTATTAAAAACATCCTTTTCCCAGTCTGCAGCTTTTACAGTCAAAGCTGGAAACAGGGTTAATGGTCCTGCGAGGGGAGGGGAGGGGAGGGGAGGTGGGCCTAGTGGGTATGTCTAGGACTAAAATTCCTCTCTCGTGCAGAACGTCCGAGGCCTGGAAAGAGGACTCTGGGAGGTAGACAATTCAGCCAGAGTCAACGGTGAATCTGAGGAACAGCTCTGGAAGAACCTCTGGAAAGCAGGACTGGACAGGCAGGGCAGCCATGAGCAATGGGGGGGGACACGGGGTGTGTGTGGCTTGGAACAATTTCACAGTACTTACCAGTAGGAAAGAAACAAGTAAGAGCTTAATCAAGACACAAAGTGCCCCCCAAAAGATGTAGCCAAAGGAAGAGAGGCTGGCTGATCTCAAGGCAAGGGGGCGAGAGGCACACGGGGGTCTCCTTCGGATAAGGAGTTGGGCAGGGGGGCTTTGATGAGCTCAGAGAGCATCAGAGACCTAATGGACAAGTAAGAGCACCTGGGGAGGAGGGTGTATATTTCATCCTTCCTTCGGATAGAGTTCATTTAAATTTTCTAGCCCCTTTTGATTTTGCTCTTCTGAGAACGGCTACTTTTCTGTTCTTGCTGCCCTCTCTCCCCCCCACCCAAAAAAAATCCCACAATAAATTACAATGCTATCTGGGTTCTGATGAAGAAGCAAGCTGCGTGCTTCCTACACAGTCCAGTAGCGAAATCAGGTCTGTGTCGAAGCTGCCCACCCCCACCAGATTTCTTAAAAGATGGGCTTCGTCCTAAGAGTGCAGGCTTCTTTCGTTTAGTACTCTCAAGACCATAAGGCGGTCTTGCAACCTTGGTTGATGGGCTGAAAATGGGGGAGGCCTGGTTTTCACACCGTCAGCGTGACCCCCACAAGACCTGGCACTCACTTGGGGGGGGGGGTGTCTGCGAGCACGACAAGGTTGCCCAGTCCGGGTGTAACGGGGCTTTTCAGAGCAGAGCGATGGGTTTGTTCCCTTGAGGGCCCCGGTACTGTGTGGGGGAGACGGCATCCAGCGTGGCGTAGGTTGTGTAGAGGCCCGTCACCTGCAAGTCTGCAAAGGAGTGGTGGCTGGCACTGGGTGCAGGGGGCAGGCTGGCAGGCGCCAGGTCGCAGTCGGAGAGCGCCAGGGGGGAGTTGCTGAAGGCGCCCAGGGATTCCAGGTTGAAGCTGTCCTCCTTCTCCTCCTCCCAGAGGTTCCCTTTCAAACAAAAGAGATTGTGATCGGATCTCTACTCAGACGAGACTTAACTGGACGATTTTAGCAGTGGGACGGATAAGGGCGTTTTCTGCTTCCAGACTCCCTCTTTTCCTCGCCCGCTGTTTGACTTTCCGGAGAAAAGGAGAAAAATGTGGCATTGTGTGTTTTTTTTTCAGTAGACATTTAAGCGACTTTATTCTGGATCAGCCACTTCAGTCGTCCTCTCGACTTGAGCCATTAAGCTCAGATCACCTGAGGATCTCAGCCTAGCCTCTCCCCCAGGTGCCCCTCACAAGGGGCAGGTAAAAGGAACTAAAGGGAGCCATAATGTTACTGGCAGAATATTTCCCTCCACAATCACATTTTCCGGGCCAGCCCTTGAAAAGACCTTCAGGTAGAAAAGCTGGCCTGCTGGGAGCCGTCCACACCGCCACTGTTTCCTCCCACAAAAGCAGCTTGAAAATAGATGGAGGCAAGAATCCCTGCAGATGAGGACCCCTCCCCCCCAAACTTGACCCAGCTGCCACATCAAAAAACAAAACAAAACAGCAACTCTAGTTCCAGCCTCTCCGACCTTCTCTCTTACCTTGGAGTGCGAAGTCCATAATGCTGGGATCGAGGGCGTCCACCTCAGTGCTCAGGTCAGTCATCAGGTTGAGAAAATCGGGGCTGCGGCTCACCAGGTGGTGAGGGAGGGGGCTGTGGTGGACGCCGGGCAGGGCGTGAAGCGGGGGTGTCTGTGCAGGGGCCGGCGAGTCTGGGGCCAAGCACGCCTGAGGCTGGATCTGCCGGTGAAGCCGGACGGACTGCAAGGACGGCGTCCTCATCGGCTGGGGCTGCACCTGCAGCAGGTG